CGGTCCCTGTGCTTTGCTAAGCTTATTCTAATTAGGTGCTTTAGACCACTGAGCCATCTCACCAGCCCCCTCCAATCAGTTCTTAGGCCAAAGGTGGCATGTCTGGCCTGGCCTGTCCCTCCATGGTCTTGGCCTGTATCCTGAGGAATGTGGCCAGGACTGGGAGCTCAGTCTGTGCTGAGACCTCAGTCCCCGCTGGTGTAGCTGGTGATGTTGACTGATTGCTCTGACAGCCAGGACATCCTTGCCATGAAGCTGCGTCCACCCAGGAGATGCTGGAATGCACAGTTGCAAGGAGCTAGACCTATCTCCTCCCTAAGACCCGTGGAACCTTCCAGCCCAATCCCAGGCTGATCCGTGATGTGGCCTGAGCATCAGCAGACTTTGCTAAGCACACTCAGACCTGGTGTTTATTGGATACGCTGGCAGAGTGCCAGTACTTTATCAGCGTCTCCTGTGATCTCTGCCGCAACCCTAGGGCAAGCTGTCCTGGGTGCGTTCCTTCTGCTCCTCAGTTTTTTCCACCCCGTCCCACCCTGGGTGGCAACTTGGCAGGATGACCTCCACCAGCTTCCTTGCCCTCTGAGCTCTGGCTAGGCAGGGTCAGCAGGAGCCAGTAGCAGATGAGCAGGAGGGGGAGGGTGCAGCTGGGGATCTGTGTGGCTGCCATGGTGGTGGGTGTGTCCCATCCCATGGCTCCTACAGCTGCCCCGCACTCTAGTCCCAGGACGCTGTAGTACCCCTCTGGGTTGTCTCAATCAGTCCCACATCTTAGAAATCAGTTCCTCTAGAAAATGCTCTTTTAAGTTACTTGGTGGGAACGTGCCATCTACTTCTGGCTGGAACCCTGCCTGATTTGTCCCTAGTGTGTGGGTGATGCCACTGAGGTCCTGAAAGCTTGCCCAAGGTGTAGCATGGTGACAGGGTCAAGCACTGGTTCACACCTGGAGGAGGCATGGGGGTAAATGTCAACCCTGCCCTGGGCCCTTGAACTTAATGGCTCTGAACAATGCCCTGTGCTCTGTGTACACAGCCCTGACCTCTTCTATTTTTGTCTCAGCTCTCTGACTCCTGACTTTCTGGCTCCTGGCCTGGTCTAAGATGGTCACCGAATGTTCCTCTGGGCTAATCTAGCTTCCCATCTCCTTTGGCTTCTCACTCTGGTCTGGCCTGAGACATTTGGGCCCCCAGAATTTCTCAGTGTGGGGAGTGGGGCTGTGACACGGTCGGTCGGCAGGGCTAGTGCAGATGGGTGAGGGCTTGTCTTTCCCTGATGGCAAAGCCAGGGCTCAGGTGCTACTGCCTCACAGTCAGCTTCCTTCTCTGGGCTGCGGGGGTGCGGGGTGGTGCTGGGGGGACCACTGGAATGTGCTTCAACTGCTGGCTGAGGCTGGGACTGCACTGCGTGTGCGCATGGAAGCAGGCTGCGTGGCCTGTTGCGTGTGCAGTGTGAAAGTATGAACAGTAGTGATTGTGTGTAAACAGAGTGGAGATGTGGTTTGTGATAGCAGTGATTGGGTGACAAAAGGAGGCAGGGTAGTTTGTGATGAGAATCAGAGACTGCTTACTCAAGGCAAGGGCAGAGTCCAACTTAAAAGGCTACAGATTGTTTTAGGTGGGCACAGCGCCCTCTGGTGGCCACAGCTAGGATCCTGGCCCATGTGGGTGGATTCTCTGGACTGCAACCCTAGCTCTAGAGGTCACAGCCCCTACTCAAGGGGCACCCCTAGCCAGGGCTCCTCCCCATTCCAGGGCTACTTTCTCTGCCCTCTGGGAGCTGTGGATGGGAGTGCTGGAGAATTAAACACAGAACAGACATGTATAAAACACAGCTTTATTGATTTCAAGGAAACCGCCTTGGCGGTGTTTTACCCAGTATACCCAGAGTTTCTGGCAACAGGGGACACCAGGCCGAGCACATAGAGGGGGAGAAACACTGAAGCACCACTGCCAGAGGTCACGGGGAAGAGCACTTGGGAAGGGGAGCTGCTACTGAGGGAAGCCGTGACCCAGAGAGGACCCCTGGGTGTCTTCAGTAGGGCTTGGGTCCCCAGAGCTGCTGTCTCTCTCCACTCACTCTGAGGACTCCCGATGGCCTGGTGCAGGAGGAGCCCTTTCCACATGGGGATTCAGGGCTCAAGTCCTGCACCTCAGGTCTCTGGCAGCCCTGGGGGCCCTCTGCCTGCTGCTATCTCCACAGGTAAGCACTTATCTCTCCAGAGAAGCCTGGCCCCATCATTCCCTGCGGCCAGGGAGAAGCCTCCTAGGAACAGCCCAGCACACCCTTGCAGGCCCACAGCAGTTACAGGTTTGAACTGTCTCTTTCTCAGGCAAACGTAGGGCCTTTCGAGTTACCTGTGCCCAGGAAGAGAGCACAACACTCAGCACCTGAAGCTATCTGCACAAACAAAACTGGATAGCATAGTGAATGCAAGGTGAGGGCAGCCAGCACCCCTAGGAGCCCTCTACCTTGCTCCCCAGCCTGAGATCAGATCGGGGTCAGCTTGGGTGCTGAAGCCTGCTTGGCATCGCCGAGGTCAGGACCCAGCTCCCCGGCTTCCACCAGCTTATGGTGGCAGCGGCAGGTGGAGGACGAGGCGCTGTGGCCCCTGGAAAGCTTGCTCTTGCCCAGGCCACGCATGATCCTGTGGAAGATGAGGTAGCAGATCTCGCAGATGGTGAGCACGATGCAGACCGCCGAGGCTCCCACCATGAAGTAGGTAAAGATTTTCTTTTCAGTGGGCCGCGCGATGTAGCAGTCCACAGTGTTGGGGCAGGGTGCCACGCTGGTACACTGAACCAGGCGCGGCATGCCGAAGCCGTGCCAGAGGGTATGCAGCACGTAGAGGAACAGCAACTCGATGATGAGCTTGAAGATGAGACTGAACAGGTAGGTCCACCACAGGCCGCCGTGCTTCTTGCCAGTGTTGCTGTACAGCTTGGTGCACTGTTCCCCGTACTTCTGGCGGTGTCGCCGCTCCCGCTCCTCGCGGTAGGCCACGTGCAGAATAACCAGCAATGAGGGGCATGTGACAAAGATGAGCTGCAGTGCCCAGAGCCGGATGTTGGAGATGGGGAAGTAGTCGTCATAGCATGCGTTGGTGCAGCCCGGCTGCTTGGTGTTGCAGTCAAAGTCTTTTTGCTCGTCGCCCCACACACGCTCTGCAGCCACCACGTACACTAGGACCCGGAAGACGAACACGACCGATAGCCAGATGCGCCCAAATGCTGTGGAATACTTGTTCACGCCGCTCAGGAGGCTCTGGAGTGTCTTCCAGTCCATGGTGCCTGGTGGGGGCACCGGGGCCCTTGCCTACCTGAGGGAGTAAGAGGGAAAACCATTATACTAACAAGTGGGGGACCCTTACTGAACATTCAGTATGTGCCAGGTACCGTCTTGAGCTCTTTATGTGGTATTTTACCCGTTCAATCATGATGACCCGATGAGATCAGAACTACTGTTCTCTCCAAGCTGCAGGTTGGAAACCAAGGCATAGGGAAAATTCTATGAGTGACCCAAAGTTACAGAGCTAAGGAGCTGGGAGGAAGGGGACATGTGCACATGAAGATGACCATTTAAGGAGCAAAGCTAAGTACTACATGTGCGAGATCTCATTTAATCCTTTATATTGGTCCCAGGAAGGGGGGTGGTTAACTCTGCTCCCTGCTTACAGATGATGCTGATAAGTGACATAAAGATTAAAATACCCATAGTATCTTGTAGATGCTCAGAAGGGTTGGCTACTCCTTACTGTGAAGTTCAGGTCACTCACTTGAGGGGACAGGTGGATGTAAGTCCAGGCTATCATGCCAGGCCCTTGCTCCCCACCATGTCCCCTCCCCTTCTCTGCTGGACACCTGTCCCAGACCAGCTTTTTCATTCTGTTTCCTCATGGATGCTTCAATAGCGTCTGTGAAGATGGGGTGGAAGTCCATTCTACAGAGTGGGGAGACTGAGGCTGGGGAAGGGGCATGGCCATGAGGGTTTCTCAGCCAACAGGTATTTTGGCCCAGTGTGGAGGTGCATGCCTGTAATCCTAGCACTCAGGAGGCTGAGGCAGGAGGATCGCTGCAAGTTCAAGACCAGCCTGGGGTGAGGCCAGGGAGATAGCTCAGTAGAATAATTGCTTGCCTGGCAAGCACAAGGCCCTGAGTTCAATCCCTGGTACCACAAAAAAAAAAAAAAAAAAAAAAAAAAAAAGACCAGCCTGGGCTACAAAGTGAGCCCAAGGCCAGCCTGAACTGCATAGTGAGACCCTGCCTCAAAAAAAAAAAGACAAATGTATCAGCCATCAGGTGGTGAAGATGGGAGGCAACGGGGGAACCTTGGGTCTAATATGGAGATAAACCCCCCTCAATGTGCAGGCCTGGGGAGCCCCAGCCACTCCCAACCATGCTGGTTGCTGGGACTCTGTGGTGTGGAGATGGGCTCTGGCCTACACTTCCTAGCCCTGAGTGACTCAGAGGTGAGGTGGGGCCGGTCCAGGATGTACTGTGTATGGGTGTGCTGGCCCAGGGTGAGGGCACGCTCCTCTCCGCGTGCTTGTGTAGGCCTGCACCTTCAAACACTGGAGAAACCTATGGGCCACCCCCTGGTCCAAGCGTCTGTCACTCTAACCAGTATTACTGCCACGGGCTCCTCGCTCACCTTCCAGCTATTTTTCCTGTGTCCCTGGAGTCTACCCAACCACAACTGTGCCACTCCTTTCTGAACTCTCTCCTCCACTGCTGAGGCTGGAAGCCTAGATTCTCCAGCCTTCTCCGGTCTCCCGTACTCTCACCCAGCTTCTCAGCTCTGGTCACACTGGTGACCTGGGCTTTGTGCTGGTTCTTCCTGCACAACTTCATCTGGCTAACTCTCCTCATTATGAAGCCCTAGGCTCAAACGTCGTCCTCACCTTAGGGGCTCCCCAGATCGGAACCTGCCCCCAGTCACTCAGCTCTGGTCCCCTTTTCTCACCTTCCTAATGCTTAATCACCACTTGAAATTAAATCGTTGCTTTTTTGTCTTACTTGCCATCTGTCTCCCCAAGGAGTGTCCCCTTTGCTCACCACTGCCTATTTATTGGTACGTTACAGGTCCTCAGTCAGTGCTGAATGGTGGGAAGGGAGCGCTGTACTCAGAGGGGCCAGGAGGCCGGGCATGCTGGGCAGGAAAGAGAACATACAGCATCTTCCCGGTATCTCAGCCCGCCGGCCACCTGTCTTCTGGGACTCAGTCTGGGACAGGACCTGTGGCTTGCGAGGGCTCCTCCCTGCTGAGCCAGGGCTCTAGGGCAGGCTGTGGAGTTACACTGGACATCGAGTCACAGCTGCACTGAGTCTCAGCTTTAGCACTGGCAGGCTGGCTGGGGCCCAGCAATTCTCCAGTGTGGCTGACCCGGTTTCCTTATCTCTCAAGGAAGGGAACTCTTGCTTTCCCGGACTGGTATGAGAACCCTGAGACTTCTCTCCCTGTCTGCTCCTCACCTGCGAAGGTCCGGGCTGCGGAGGGGAGGCGGGAGCTGCATTCTCTCACACCCCGCGGTGCGCTCTAGGGCGCAGCTCGCTACGGGCCCCAACGTTCCCCTCGCAGTCCACAGCCAGGACACACCCCAGGGATGAGACTCACAGGCCAAGAATGTGCTCGAAGGCTGGAGGAGCCGGTTCCGACCCCCTCCTGCCCCCCAAGCCAGCTCCCTGCGCAACCGTTTGCTACCGGCCCCTGGACCAACCTGACCGGGCCTGCTCCTCACCTTCACAGGACCCCCCCCCCAACACAGACCTCCTACCCCCACTCCACCCCGACCCTGGGTTCCCGCTGTTGGTGCTCACGCAGGGCAAGTGGAGGTCCAGGGGCCTCCCAGCAATAGGAATTCAGCCTCCAGGGGTGAACAGGCTGGGGGGGGGGGTCGGGGCATTAAAGGGTCCCTTCACTTCCCAGCCAGCCCACCGCGGGCGCCGTCGGGGCCGCACCTCCCCTCCCGCACACTTACCGTGGGCGGTGCTGCAACCCGGATCGCGAGCTCGTGGCAGAGGCGAAGAAGACCCTAGCCCAGTGCTGGGGATGAGCGCACTGGGGCGGTGTGGAGGGGGAAGAGGGGGAGGAGAGGCGGGAGGGAGGAGCCTGGGCCAAGGAGGGTCGCAGTTCTAATCCCGTCGCAGCCACGTGGCCCCGGGGCCAGCTCCGCAGGGGATCCTGGCGCTTCCGCGCCTCGGTTTGCACAGGCATGGAGTGGGAGCAGCCGCAGTCATGGTCAAGGATCTGGTAAAGCCTCCGAGGAAATTACAGGCGCGAGGTACTTTGCAAAATGTTAAATGCCTTGGCCGAGGTTCGGACTGCAATCCGACTCGCCCACGCTGGTTACCACGGATACTGGGTCCGCGCCCTGCAGGTCTTGATCCCGCCCGGTGTAAGGCGGGGATTCTGCCTGCCCTTTGACCCTAATTGTGTCTTGACCCTGCTTAAAAACACTCCTGGGAGCCAGCCCCCTTGCTCCTTAACACTAGGGGGCCTCAGCTGCAGGGAAGAGCTAACCATGGCCGGAGGTGGGCAAGGGGGTCAGAGCCTGTCCGGGGCACTGGGGGTGGGGTTGGGGACAGGGACCGTGATTTGCACGTAGCCCCCTTGCAGGGCTTGGAGGCACCCGTGCTCGCGTTGGGCCTGGGCTGGGCTCTGTGGACAAGGACGCTTTGTCTTATGTATCAGTGTGCCGCAGCTAGGAACCTGGGAAACCCCGTGGCTTCCGGCCTCCCCGGGAACCCGGGTGTCTTAGTCACAGTCAGGCGTTACTCCCCGTCTGGATGTTGGTGACTTACATCGCCAGCACCTCGGTGACCATACATCACACCTGCCCAGGAGGTACCTGTTGTCTTCCAAATTAGGGAGATGGACTCCCAAGACACGTTTTTGCAGAGGATAAGAGTGAATTGTTAGTCCAGAGAGATCTTTGGGCCGCGCTGTGTTTCAGACTTTATTCATTCTTATAGGTCCAAAAGAAGCAGGTATAATCCCTCCTGCGTTTAGGAATGAGAAAACTGGGGAATGGTGGTGCACGCCCCTAATCCCACGATTTAGGAGGCTGAGTTGGAGGATCACCATGAGGTTGGGGCCAGCCCTGCCTTTATTTATTTATTTATGTATGTATGTATGTATGTGTGTGTGTGTGTGTGTGTGTGTGTGGCCAGCTCAGCCCACCAGGGGGTGGGGCTGGCTGGCATGTGGTGCTTGGGGATTGAACCGCGGTCCCTGTGCTTTGCTAAGCTTGTTCTAAGTAGGTGCTTTAGACCACTGAGCCATCTCACCAGTCCCCAGCCGTGCCTTAATAGCCAGACTCAGTCTTTTTTTTTTTTTTTTTTTTTTTTTTGGCAGAACTGGGGATTGAACTCAGCCTCTTGTGCTTGCCAGGGAAGCACTTATTCCACCGAGCCATCTACCCCCCCTTTTTTGTTGTTATTGTTTTTCAGACTCAGTCTTAAAAACAAAGAACTACACTACAAACAACCCCTGCCCCCAAGCAAACAAACAAGGAATGAAAAAAATACCAAACCGGGGCACAGACTGTTGAGGTGGCTCTGCGCATGCGCAGTGTGTGGATGTGTGCACGTGACAGTGGGGACCACGTCTCTGCCCCCTGCCTGCTGCTCTGCCCGTGTCCTCCTCTCCTGATCACTCTTATACTGTCAGCAAATGGCTTACCCCCCAAAGTCACATTAAAGAAAACAAAACAAAACAAACAAACGAAAAAACACCGCACCTGCCACAGCTGGCCTCTCCTTCCCTTTCAAAGCCTTCCTCCCTTGGCTTCTTGACATCCCCTATTTTTCTTCCAGGATCCTAGGGGCCCATCTCTTCCCTCTCAGGTGAGTTCATAAACAGAACCAAACTCCCACGCAGCCCCGGATACTCGCATGTTTACGGGGCCAGTCTTAACGCACCAGATTGGGGGTTTGGGACTGCCCATCGGCCCACCCGCCCACCAGGCCTGGAGGTCTTGTTTTTCCTTCCTCAGTCATAACTGTCTATCACAAAGTGGTGGCAGCGCCTGTAATCCCAGAGCTTGGGAGGCGGAAAACAGAAGGATCACTACAAGTTCGATCTGTGTAGTGAGACCCTGTAGACCCTGTACTAACTATGTAAAAAAGAAAAATTATAATAACTGTCTATCACGCTATAGAGATCATTTTTGTTTAACCTATTTTTTGTTTAAAGTATGCCATCTTTACTACTGGGCTTTGGGCTTTTATATAATAAAACTTTGGACATATTCCCTACCAGTAGACATAGAGCAGCCTCCTACTTAAAGACCTGAAAAGCGTGTATTTAATTGATCTCATTAGATGAAAATTAAGGCTGCATCTTTTTTCTCTCTCTCACTCCCTCTTTTCCTTTTAGGCACTGGAGAGGAAAGCCAGAGGACAAGGCCACTAGGATACAGCTTGAGCCCTCTATTTCATTTTGAGACAGGGTCTTCTTAGGTGCCCATGCTGCCCTCCAACCAGTGGTTCTGCTTCAACTTCTCAAGTAGCTGGGGTCCCAGGTGTCCCCCTGCTGCCTGGCACTGTAGTGAATATACGCTGATGAGCATTATTTAATTTGTTTCTAGAAGTTGAACTTTTGGGTTAAAGTTAAGTGTGTGTGTTTTGTCTTTTTAAAGTATATATATTTTTCATTTTTAAGTATATGTTTTTGAATTTCTTTTTTAATGTAATTTAATTTTAATTTTAATTTTTTGTGGTACCAGGGATTGAACTCAGGACCTTGTGCTTGCCAGGCAAGTGCTTATTCAACAGAGCCATCTCCCTAGCCCTTTAAATTTTATTTGAAAGAGAAAAAACCCTCAAAATTTCAGAAAAAAAAAATTTCAGAAAAACAATAGGAGGGTAACAATGATTAATACATTGCACATTGTTACTCTTAAATCAGTTACTTAGAGTACAAGATATTGGCATTTAAATTTTTTTTTTTTTTTTTTTTTTTTTTTTTCAGAACCAAGGATTGAACTCAAGCCCTTGCACTTGCAGGGAAGCCCTTATTTCACTGAGCCATCTCCCTGGCCCAAGAAGAAATTATTTTGAGACAAGGTTTCACTGTGTAATTCAGGCTGGCCTTGAGTTTACTATGTAGTCCAGGCTGGACTTGCACTCATAGTGATCCTCCTGCTGATTCTCCTGCCTCAGTCTCCTGAGTGCTGGGATTACAGGCGTAGGCCACCATGCCTGGCAATATTGGCATTTAATTGTTCAAACAATATTAGCACAAATTAAAGTTAGGTATTGATTTAAACATTTAATGGAGCCGAGTGACATGGCACACGCTGTAATCCCAGCACTGGAGAGGCTGAGGCAGGAGGATCATTGCAAGTTTGGGACCAGCCTGGGCTACAAAGTGAACTCAAGGCCGTCTGAACTGCAAAGTGACACCCTGTCTGAAAAAGAAAAATAAAAAATTCGATAAGTATTACCAAATGATCTCCATGGATATATCACTTTGGGTTGTCACGTGACTCAAGAGGGTTTTTAAAAAATATTATCATTATTTTTTATTTTATTTTTGTCTTTTTGAGACAAGGTCTTCAGATGCAGTTCAGGTGGGCCTTGAACTCACTTTGTAGCTCGGGCTGGCCTTGACCTTGCAGTGATCCTCCTGCCTCAGCCGCCCAAGTGCTGGGATTACAGGTGTGTGCCATTATGCCTGGCAAGAGCTCATGTTTCTCCTGACCTTGCACTCGAGTGCTACCAGTTGCTGGAGCACCTTCTTGCTATACTTTTATTTCTCTTATTTTATTTTATTTATTTATTTTTTATTTGGCTAGCTCAGCCCAGGGGTGGGGCTGGCATGGCATATGGTGCCGGGGATCAAACCTATGTCTTTGTGTGCTTGCCTAAGCAGGCGCTTTATTGTTGGCAGAACCAGGAATTGAACTCAGGCCCTTGCGCTTGCCAGGGAAGTGCTTATTCCACTGAGCCATCTCCCTGGCCCTAAGCAGGCACGTTAGACCACTGAGTTATCTTGCTGGCCTTATTTCTCTCTTTTGTGCTTGCCAGGGAAGTGCTTATTCCACTGAGCCATCTCTCCCCGACCCCCAAGAAGATTTCTTTTAGAGTTTATTTATGTGATACCAGGGATTGAACTCAAGACCCTGCCCTTGCCAGGTAGGCACTTATTCTACTGAGCTATCTTCCCAGCTCTCTTATTTTAAGGTTAAGTATTTTTTGTTGTATTTGGGAGCCACTTTTGTTTTTCTGTGATCTGTCCTTTGCTAACTTTTCTATTAGATGGTTACTTTTTTATTATTTCTTAGGAGCTCTTTACATATGAAAGAAACAGGGGCTGGTGAGATGGCTCAGTGGTCCAAAGCACCTACTTAGAACAAGCTTAGCAAAAACAAAGGGACCGCGGTTCAATCCCCCAGCACCACATGCCAGCCAGCCCCGTCCCCTGGTGGGCTGAGCTGGCCCTCCCCCACAAATAAATAAATAAAAAATTTAAAAAAAAAGAAAGAAACAAACAAACAAACAAACCCTCTGTGATACAAATAGAGCCCCTCTCCTATTTGACACTTGCATTTTGACTTTTCATATGGAGTTTTTGCCGTACAGATTTAAAACATTTTTAGGTAGCCAAATGTATTAATCTTATTTTTTGTGGCCTCTGAGGTTGGTCATAATTAGAAATGCCTTTACCTCTCTGAGAATTCAGATAAAAGTTAGTATCTTGGTTTCTTCTGGTTAAAGCAGTATTATAATGATACAAATCAGGTCATGTCCCTCCCTTTTTAAAGTCTTGCAGTGACTTGTCGTTACCACTAGACTAAGACTCACTCTCCCGAGGCTGGCTGCGGAGGCAGCAGTGACCCCATCCTGCCTCACTTCCTAACTTGAATCCATGCCTCGGTACAGTGTCCCTGAACAAGCTGCTTCCTTGTGGCTTTCTGGCCCTCTGCCTGGACAGTGCTGTCCTGACCCTTGCCCCGCAGGTTTCACCTTACTCAGTGCTCTCCTGAGGGCGGCGTTCAGTTCCCTGTACCCTACTTCAAGACTCTGTTCTGCTTCTCAGCCTCACCCTTCATAGCCTTCTCTGAGATGGTTGCCAAGTCTGGGGGCTCACCATCGAGGGATGACTCTGTGTGTGTGTGTGTGTGTGTGTGTGTGTGTGTGTGTGTGTGTGTTTGTGTGTGTGTTTCTCAGTCTTTCTGTCTCTGTCTGTCTCTCTCTCTCTCTCACACACAGACACACACAGACACACACATACACACAGAAAGAGAGAGAACCACCCTGGGTGGCTGTGTATTTCAGTGGTTGCATGCAGCC